AGGTCAAAGGTCAAATCCAAGGGTATATTTGAAATCTACACATATGACTTTTGGAAAGCCGTCTATAGAAATTTTTCCCATAACTCCTTCCGTAGGGTAGATAATTAGCATTTAATTTTGCCATTTTTAGACAAGGGTGCATTGCAATGAGTGCCACACCCAGACCCCAATACCGACAAAGCCCAAATTTTACGTGGAACGAGTTGAGATTATAGGTGACCTAAATCCATGAGATGGGTACGGGGGCCCTTACCGTCTAGGAGGAGAAGCGGTAACGGTAGCCGTCCGGCGGAGCCGGCGGAGCCAACGGAGCTGGCGGAGCCGGCGAAGCCGGCGGAACGATCCGGACGGGACCGAAACCATGTGTACCGCCAGCGCTAACGCTGGTGGTACAATAATATGAAAAAAATTACAAAAATTTTTAAACATTATTAAATTAAAGTATCAACATATTTAATTGATGTATCCATACTGGTGTTAGCCCTCTCCAGAAACCCCTGATATTGTCTTGACGGAAGACGGATGAAACAATTGTCCATATAGCTACAGGGTGCTGTCTGAAAAAGAAAAACGAGAAATTAATCCTATTATCATCCTTAAATGTCTATAAAAATTTGAAAGATAAATATTATTTCATTGGTACTCATATTGCAGACCCTTTGGCCCTACATTTGTCATGGAACATAATACAATGTAGCACTAACGTAATGTTAATGCTATGTTGTGAAACTAATATCACAAAAAAAAAAAAAAAAAAAAAAAAAAAAAAAAAAAAAAAAAAAAAGGGGGGGAAATATTCATGCCCCTTTACAGATATGCTTTCCAAATATCACTTGCCCTTTCACTACTGAAGACTGTAACCGAGTCTTGATTAAATCCAGAGGTTGGAACAACAACACTGAGCATGTTCCACTGAAAGATCCTGCCAGGAAACTCTTAAGCACAGGACTCTGAAATACAAGACAATTTCAAAGTTGATGATAAATTTCCAAAGTGCATACTATAAATATTTTGAAATTGAAGAACATTCTTTTGTAAAAGCCTTAGTATATATATATCAAGACACCTAAATGTGTATAATCATTGAACTACTCCTACCGGCTGTCTTTGAGCAGAGATGCATAAATATAGCTGGCCTAATTTATTTCGGATCTAAATAGATATGGCATAAATTACGTATATTTGTTCAGAAATGTATGTGAATGCCGAGTTTGCTGACAGTACTATATCTTAGAAAGGTATGTTACATGTACTGTGCACTAAAGTTAATTGCCAAATTATACTGTATGTACTAGTACATGCTCCATTGTTGTTTGCTGTCATTACATTAAGGCACATATGCCAGCAGGGTAGACTCACCGAATCTATCATGACCCTGACACTAGCATGTGAGGGTAATTTATGGTCGCTGACCATCCCAAAACATGATATTCAACTTCTCAATAAAGGATCCAAAAACAACCCGTTTAGATATAAATGAATGAGCGAGACGGGGGAGAATCGAAACAAATTGGCAGTTATATTATGTTTGTCACAGAAAGTTTTGTATATCCGAAGTCATGTGACCTTTCCTGTACTCCCTGATGTCAATCGCAAGCGAACGACTTTGGAATATTTAGCGTCACTGAAGGACGCATGGCTTGAGGGTGACGCGTTCGTGGCTGACGACGATAAGGATTTTAGACCACTGTCTGAGGAATGTCCTTAGATCTCTTTAACTTAGATGTCACGGAAAATCCCGTTGCCTAAACGACTTGAAATGCCTCGCAGCAAAATAATTATCACTTTTAAACTATGTCCATTACAATTAAATGGCTAAGACATGCAACATATTAGATCTGGTGCAACTTTCATAATAGTCGTCAGTGCCTTGCGTTCTTGAACTCACAATGATAAATGTCTAATGCATCATAAGTAATTTGAAAAATATGAAAACGAGGCTTCTTTATGGAGAAACGTGAGCAAGGTCATTTTAACGTTAAGCGGTACTTCATAATGCACGACTTTATTTTGTTTCGTCGGAATTAAATTGTCGTTACTAAATTATGTAAAAAAACACGTTTATTGCTGATTTGTAAAGTACATTATAAAATAATGAGAAAATAGAGTGAGCGTATATCTACGCAAATATATTCTTCTTTACGACAGCCGGTGCTGCAAATATTTCATCCGGGCACCTGCCACGTTGATATGGTCTTGTACAAATTATTTGATAACTGTATGCCGTATTCATCCACGTAGTAAAACTTGCACAGGCCGGATTGTTGTGTCAATGAAGATAAAATACTAGCGATGTCTTACCTATTAGAAATACTCGTTATATTAGGACTATATTGTAATTTCGCCCTTGGAGTCGAGCTGACATTTGAACTACCAGACAACGCTAGAGATTGCTTTCACGAAGTTATCGACAAGGATGTCAAATGCACCATAGAGTTTCAAGTAGGTACCACTGTGAATCCTTTTGTGGGGAATATAAGGGCGCCCATGCTTAGATCATAATGTATTTACACACCTCATTTCCCGTTGTACCACTGAAATAAGCATTATTGACCTAGCTCAAAGTAAAAGGTTTTAGTACACGTGTACATGTGTCACTTGGGGTTTCTTGCCGGCGACCCCATCCAACCATAAAGAAATAATGATATTTTGTTTATGTTATCGAATTTGTTTTTTTCCACTGTCCATTACTTTTTTGAGTGTAGTGCACGTTAGTTGAAGTCGTGTGAAACTGTCTAGGATGCAAAAATGTGTTGCATATGGCCTCATTAAATATAAAATTGTGAATTATCCGAGTTCACTTCCATATTGCTTGGTAACTTATGGTGAATAGTAAAATGTTGTTTGCTTATTCAAATAGTGAATAGTACAACATAATTTGCTTACTCCCATGGTGTCCAGTTTTAACAAATACACACACTTTTCTGCAAGTTAAATGTTAATTTAACATTCAGTGTTCTTGCAATATTTTACGTTAGCTTATTGAATTGTATTATGTAACAATATAATGATAAATAGTTCAAACCATCATTTTCTTTAGAAGGGCACAGATTTTATAAAATGCTTTTGTAATTTGCTTAATTCATTCATATCATATATGATAATTGATTATTTTGGAATGTTATACAAACAAATATTACAGTTACTAGTAATGTTTGAAGAGAACCTGTTCTCTGCCAAGAAATGCATCATGTATATCCCAGCATTTGAACATCTTAAAGGCAGAAATATAATGCATATTATAATTACAGAACTCTTCTATTTTTCATCAGGTAATAACAGGTGGAAACTATGATGTTGATCTAGAACTGAAGAGTCCCTCAGGACAGATTCTGTATAAAGATGTGAAGAAACAGTACGATAGCTTCACCTGGACGACAGACATGAGAGGAGAATACACCTTCTGTTTTAGCAATGAATTTTCAACATACAGCCATAAGACAGTTTACTTTGACTTCCAAGTCGGAGAAGAGAAACCTCTCTTACCAGATATGGGGGCACATGCTAAAGCTTTAACACAGGTACGGGTAGAGAGCAATTCATATTTAATATTAGTTGACAGAAGTGTGTCATTAAATGCAGGTATGACACAGATTTTCTGTTACTTGTATGATACTGCTGGCCATACTTTGGCAGATCTTATGTGAAGTAGGAATGATTGATAATGTTTGGTTTTATCAAATACATCATTTAATTATTTTATATCCTAAATGTGTTTCTGCCTTCATTCACAGAGGTGACTGTTGACTCTTTCCACTCACTTCAAATTTGCATTAATGATTATCAAGTTTGATTTGTGGAAAATGAACTGTGAAACGAACTGTTATTATTATTAATATTATTATTATTATTATTATGCAATTCTGGTCATTTCAGCTGGAATCTTCAGCAGTTACTATCCATGAAGCTATGAAAGTTGTAATAGATTACCAGACTCACCACAGACTCAGAGAGGGTCAGGGGAGGTCGTTTGCCGAGGGACTGAACGAAAGAGTACAATACTGGTCTATAGGACAGACTGTTGTGATTTTAATAATTGGAATTGGACAAGTATTAGTATTACGTAGTTTTTTCTCTGACAAGAAATCTGTGTCTGTTCATACGTAGGGAATGTGATACATTGTAGATGTTCTTGTTCTTATTTTTGTACAGAAATTAACCTTATTGTTTGCAAAATGCAAGATCTCTAATGAAACAATGGTTCTTTGTTGCTGTACAGACATGAGTTTATGTTGAGTGATATGGATAGATTTTGTCATAGGATATGACTGAAGGAGTCATATTGAACTATAAGCTCATGACACTTATTTGTCATTGCTAACAACTCTGGTATTGTCTGTCATTAGAAACATTGAATATTCTAAATGATTAGGCGTAATAGTAACAGTGTTAGGCTCACACTAGTATAGGATTTTTTCCAAATTCTTTTGAAAATCTACTCTGGGCCATGAAAGCTTTTAAAATGCATGCTCAAAATAATATGCTAGAGCAACCCCAGATGTAGTATTCAGTTCTTTTACTTTTTCTACAGAGATAGTTGCAACTTTCATTTAATTTACTAATTGTTTTCTAAATTGAAATCTAGGGTTGTGTAAGCATATTAGATATTCAGTTGCAAAAAAATATATTATATATATTCTTGTGTTATGCACAAGATTCATGGATGTAATAAATTGAAATGAAGTTCACTTTTATATAAGATATAATGTGTATGGCTTTTGTTTATTTGTTTGTTTACAAAGAATGAGCAGAAAACCAGGTAACTTGTTAGCCGATGCATGGTTCCAGCTATTGGGCAGAATATAAATTTCTAGGTTCTTGTTTGTGCGATTTCCTGCGATATGGATTCTTCAAACTAGGATTTGTTGGTAAATGGACGTTAAATATAGTGGTAATGTTTAATTTACTATTCAACTGCAAGTTGTTCATTTGCACAGTGTCACAATTATTTTTTTTTTTAATTATAAAAATAGAACATGAAAATTCATTTAAAACTTTGTCTTGGCATAGTTGTTTATCATATCTAAATGTATTAGGATAAAATCAAAAATACTCTAAATGGAGAAAAAGTAATTGAAATTATATATTGTGTTATGCAATTATATGCTTTTCAATATGCATTTGGATTGTTTTGGATACTATGCACACAAAGTATAGTATCAAGTTTGTTTCCAGCATCATACATATGGCAAGGTTGTATTTTCCTCACTGCTTTCTAAAATCTCCAAGGTAACCTTGGGATGCATTATTAATGTAAAATGTAATACCGTGTAAATAAAGTATCGTCTGGTATTGTCTTACATTTTGTATTATTCCTAGTTTTTTTCCATTTGTTGAAGTCATGAAAATACGCAGTTTTCTATAGCATTAGAGAGAGCTTTCAACAATCTGAATTGACCAAAACAGCTGGATTCAGAGAATTTCTCATGGGCATTTATTATTGAAAATGCCAATTGATTAATACAACTGTTTTATCTATACCATGCTAACAATTTACATGCTTACACAGTATACATTTTGAGAAGTGCTACTTAACTGTCATTTGCATACAAGCTTATTTGATTTGTATCGATCTAGTTAACTGATTTATACAAAACTAAAATTCTCTTTTTAATCGAATTCTACACAGTATAATTGGTTTCATATTGTGCACTTCACAAATTAGAAGCAAGTATGTACAATTATTTTTATTCCAAGGCTCATTGAAGTTTCCTACTGAACTGAATACAATAATAAGCATGCGAGAAAATAAAGACCCTCCTGGTTGATTTGAATTAAAATTTTCATCAAAAAATCGATATTGAGCGCCAAGTCCGTCCCTTACGCACCAGCATTTAAGATTTGTCTAACTATTACAGTCAAGCTTGTAAGCAGTGATATATTTAATGATAATCAGGGTAAAGATTCAAGATGAGACCAATTGAAGAATGAACACAAGTATCATTAGTGGCAAACTAGCCAGACAGGAAACAATCACGAAACTAAATCTAAGACTACATGTTACATTAACCCCCAATACAGACAGGTAATAAAGGCATCAAATGACATACATGGCAATTCTGCGCAACATTACTGTTCAGCGTTTAGAAGCTTTGTCTTTCAGATTTTCTATCATCCACTGTCTGTTGGACAAAAACAACTTTCAGCAAGTACTAAAATGTACACAGCCTTATGTCTTAAGAATTTTATGTATTAAATATGTGCCATTAATCTCAATGAAATTCAATTTAAATATACACATGTCATATTCCGAGCATTTGATATAGTTCGTCATCATCTATGGGAGGGTCATCTTCACTTTCTGTTGCCACTGTTTGTTTAATGGGTGGTGGCGCCACTGCTTTGGGGACTACTGGCGCGGGTTGGGGTGCCACTGGTGCTGGTGCTTCATACTTAGGAGCAGTGCTGGTAGCTGCTGCATCTCCACCATCTTCAGTATTTTTGATAATTTGTGCAATGCGAGCTTCAAGGTCCCGGTGTTCCTAAAAAAAAAAAGATCAAAGATAAAACAATCTAAATAAAATTATTCAACAGACTATGGTATTATTAAAAATCCAGTACTACTGCACAGTAAAATATTGCTTAAAAATTAAATAATTTTCACTACAGCAAAGGGGAAATTACAAATATACTAAACAAATCATAAAGAAAAGTGCATCACTGTAAGACCAATAGTAAATTTCACGAATTTACACTGTGCTTGTATATAAATAGGTAGATTTTTATTTAGTTGGCCCAATGCATCAAATTTAAACTTTTTTCTGATGATCTTTTTCACGTGACTAGACACTAAGCAGCCGTGTTGCACAATTTGACATAGAAAAAGCATAAGCATTCACTTTAATGTTTCCATCATTAAAAATAACTCACAGGAGGTGTTTCAGGTTCATCATCAAATTTGACAGCATCTACTTCCGTAGAGAACAGTTTTAGCCTCTCATCCAAGGGAGCAAGCTGTGAACGGCTCTGTTCTGTTGGTTTCTCCGTAGCAGGCCGCCCTAATGAAAGACCAGGCATAGGCTGGAGGGAAAATCCAAAGTTACTCGATTCCATCACCGAAGATTGTGATTCTTTCTCTACACTTTTCAAAATGCTGGCAGTAAGATCTACATCCATGGATTCAAGTTCTAACCCATTCTGAGTTGCAATTTTATTGGAATCTGATTCCAATGGTTTTGTAGGCCCTGTGTCTTTAGGGCTTTCTGTTGTGTCCATTTTGGAATCTGTTTCATCTGTTCCCCCAAGGCCAGGAATCACTGTCTTACTCTCTGAATCTTGAGTTTTGAATTCCTTTATTGTTTCACTCTGAGAGTTTTTACTTTCTAAAGCACTTAGTGAATGCAATGGAGTGTCAGGGATACTTTGTTGCATGTTGTCGGTAACTTCCATTTTATTGTCATTTTTGTTCTCCTGTTGCTGTTGTTCCTCCTGTTGTTGCTGAGGGACCTCAGTTGAGACACTTTCTGTTAATGGTAAATCTGGCTGGTCTTCCTTGTTTTCAACTGGACTTTCTTTATCTGAATTTCAAATAAAAACATTTCTTGATATTAGATGGCATTTTATAAATCAGGATGTGAAAATTCCCCTACCCCTCGGAGAAGTTGAATGAGAACTACCAGAGCTTGTAAAGTTGGACTTATGGACTTGCGCAAATAACAATCATGAGACAAATCTTCCTCATAAACCAGAAAGGTGGACTTCCAGTTTAGATCTTTACATTCCACTGCATCTGTTTTGGAGTTATCAATAATAATTTTTCTCTTAAAGGGCTCACCTTTGTCGAAATTTTCTTTATTTTCTCTTTCTTGTTTTTCTTTAGCATCTCTCTCCTTTTGTTCTTTTTGATATTTGTCTTTAGCCTTTCTGAAAACCTCTGAAAAATTTTCTCCTTCTCCAACCATAAACATTGTTTTGAATCTATTATAAATCAGTTCCGACTTCTTCTGAACTCTGGAATCACCTTTGTATCTCCGACACTGCAAAAAATAAATAAAGGAATACAGATAATCATATTCATTAGAAAAATCTACATTGTGTAACAATAGTTTTACATCTCTTTTTGTATACAAAGTATTATGTAGACTAAAAGTACATTCCCATAAACACCATGAGGACACTTGCTAAGTGCAGTCAGCTTGAGACATGAGCCTAGATTTAAAAAAAAAAACCCTCTAAACATTTATCATGGGACCCAACACCCAACTGGCCAGGGGTCCAGGGGCCACCTTATGAATTGAATAAAAAACACGGAATTCCTCGTTTCCAGGGAAAAAGCTCATGTCTGAGCTTAATTGAATAGCATGCATTCTTTTGTTTTCAGTGCAAAATCACCTACTTCTCTTTGTGTTAATCTGTTCAGCTGACTGCATTTGAGAATCTCCGCAGAGTTAGGTTGGTCCACGTAAACTGAAGTGTCTATGGGAATGGAGCCTAATTATAATGTTTAATCATGCAAACTATTTAAGACAACATCAAGTAAGTGAAAGTCTGATTGATTAATGATTTTTCCAGGAATAAAAGCCAATTCCAATAAAAGATAAATGTTTCTGCAAAAAAAAAAAAAAAAAAAAAACTTACCATCTTAATAGTTTTCAAAATTGCTGGATTTTTCTGTAGCATGACAGGCTCAATAGTCATGTTATTTAATTCCTCCATCACAGCTATGCATTTATCTATATCCTGTTTAAAACAAACGTGAAACATTACTTGTACAAAATGTCAGTTTTACAAATTAAATATTAAACATTTACTTCATATAATCCAATTATTTCATATAATATATAATCACTGTGCTACATCACATAACTAGACAATAAGACATCTATTACGTAATATTCATTAATTACTTTTATGAAATCCACAAAGTGTGATTTTACATAAGTAATAACATTTATCTTAAAGGTTGAAACAAATCACAACATAACTCAAGAAAGGTACTTACTGCATTGCCAACTGAAAGTGTTCTTTTTATTTCTTGTTCCATTTCAATCAGTTGCTTTTCTACTTTCAGGACTAAAATGAAGACAGACATTTGAGACCATGAAATATGTGCAATTTAAACATACTACTGCCATTAGAATAATGCGTAACTTCAAAGAACAGGAGGTGCTCACGTCCCTACAAACAACATATCCTGATTACTCTGCATCTCCCACAAATTAAATAGCAATCCTTCTTTTAATTTCTATTCTTATATCATAATTATAAATGGTATATGTACATTGTTGTTAACTAGGTAAAAAGTACTAATTGTTCTCTTTATTAATATACTCACAGTTTATCTTTTCTCTTTTCTTTTGTTCATATTTTTCTCTTTTCAACCTTTCCTTCTTTTCTTCTTCCTTCTCACTTTTAATTAAGTAAAAAGCGTCATGAATCAAATAAAGCAACCGATTTTATTTCTATCCAGTTGTATTCCTTGTAAAATAAGGAAATATTAAGACATGTAAAAGTTTGTCTAAAAACTTAACAGACCACATCATTCGTTAATGGCTTTTATTTTGGCATAAAATTTGCTGATTTCTGTCTATCTAATTATGTTTGCATCAGGAAAAGGGACTTATAAAACTGACTCCACCTTGTAATTTTATACAAATCACCAGAGAGTGTGTTAATTCTGACCAAAATTAGAACAAACTGTTGCCATTGTCATAACACACATTGTTTAAACTTCAAAATCACAACAGACTTACTGTTTCTTCTCAGCTTTGCTTTTGCGTTCAGATGGAGAGTCTGGATCTTTGCGTTCTTTCTTTTCTTTTTCTGTCTTCTTCCCTTCTTTATCCTTCTCATTTTTGTGCTTGTGTTTATCCTGTTAATAGAGTTAAGCGAGATAAACATCTGCTGACAAATTATCTGATAATGTGTGTGTCAATGTAACCTATTCTGGCATTACTGCAAGCTGCAACACTGCCATCAATCACAGAAAATTACAAAAGATCTCAAAAAGCTCACAATTCGCATCTATCAATGAAGGATTTTTTAAAGATATCATTAACTGTACACATTTCTTTTTGAGACATCCCAGTTAATGAACAACTATCAGCTGACAACCAATTCATAATCATACATACCTCAGATTTTTCATTCTTTACTTCTTCTGTCTTAGTGCTAGATGCAGGCTGAGACTCCTATCAAAGTACATAAAAAACTTCCCTTACTAAACTGCATAAAAATATGTTGATAATATACATTAGGCAAAAAAATAAAACTTAAGTATAAAGTTTATCTACTGTCATGAAATTAGGTTTCTTTTTTCTCTTTGACTAACACAAAATGACAAACACTTACTTCACTATCACTGTCAATACGCTGAGTGGATTTTCTCTTGGGTTTTTCTGCCTCTTTCTGCTTTTGGGCTTCCTTTTCTTTTACTTTGAATGACTTTGTCTTCTCCTTTTTGGCAAGTTTCTCTTCTTTGTGATCCTTTGAACCTGTAAAACAGCAATAAAATTACTAGGGATGATCAATTTCTTGTATTAAACCTCTAGCTTAGTACTCAATTTTATCACTGTTTAATTAAACATTACTTTAAAACAGAGAATGGCAAAAACCGAGCTTTTACACGAAAATCAGGAAAATTGACAACATACCTTTCTTGTCAACTTTAGGGGCCTTATCTTTTGCCTGCTTTGGAGTGTCTGCTTTTGTTGCCTTCTTTTCTTTTTTGTTGTCCTAAAATGTCAATGTTCATTAATTTTTCTCGTCAATAATCATACATATACATATAATATTATTCTGTAAAATGCTGTTATAACTAATTTTGAAAGAAACAGTTTGTCAACATTATAATGTGTGTTTTACATCTCA